CCCCAGATTTATGTCTCTAGCCAGGACTCGCCTCTGACCTCTAGACTCATGTTTTCAACTTGCCTATTCAACCTCTCCATTTTGATGTTTAATAGGTATCTCAAACTTGGCATTTGTAACACTGAAGTCTTGTTTCCTCAGAATTTACTATGCCAAATTTTTCTCTTGTCAGAAATGGCAATGCCATCTTGTAGCTGCATAGCAAAATTTTGGAATCATTCATAACCCATTTTGGCATGTAATACCTTCTACATTCTGTTACTTCTGCCTGAAAACTCTTTTCTTCAACCTAATCCTTTTCTCTTAATCTCAATAGCCAGTCCACCAGCAAATCCTTTGGACTCTGCCTTCAGAAAATATGTAGAATATGACGTGTTTTGACAATTTCTAATGCTATCTATCTGTCTCAAGCCACAATCATCTTGAACCTGGATACTGTAAATGTCTAGATAATTGTCATAGATTACTGTTACAATAGGTCATTCTAAGAGGTTTCCTTGCTTCTGCTCTCATTGTATGTTTACACTCAACACAGCAGGAACAGTTTATCCTTGAAAATATTCAGCCACGTCACCACGGATAAAAACCCTCGAAGGCTTTCCATCTTGCTCAGAGCAAAGGTCAAAATCATTACGATGGCCTGCACTACACTTGGCCATTTGTCCCACATCTCTGATCTTACTTATGGTGACTCCTCCCTTTGCCACTCTGCTCCATACATCCTGGCCTCCTTGTTGTTCCTCAGTCCAAGCAAGCTTCTACCTCACAGCTTTTGTTTCCTGCTGTTCCCTTTGCTGGTAATGCTCTCTTCCCAGATATCCAGATGTTTGTTTCATTGCTTTTCTTCAGGTCTCTTCTTAAATGTAATTCTATTACAGAGAACTTCCCTGAACACCTGATACACATAAAAGCAACACCCCCTCCAACCTTTCCTGAGCCCCTTACTGTGCTTTATTCCTCCTCACAACATGTATCCCCATCTCCATGGCACTTAGCACTATATATTTTCTGGATTGTTGTTTCCATCTCCCCTCACTAAAATTGTGAGCTCCGTGGAAGCAGAAACTGTATCTGTTGTGTTAGGTGCCGACCCTCATTGTGTTAGAACATTTCCTAGCATGGAGTAAACACTCAATAAATACCTGTTGAGCCCTAGCCGGTTTGGCTCAGTGGATAGTGTCCACCTTCAGACTGAAGAGTCCTGGGTTTGATTCCAGTTACTGGCATTTACCTCAGTTGTAGGCTTGATCCCCAGCCTTGGTTGGGGTGCTTGTGGGAGGCAACCAATCGATGTGTCTCTCTCTCATCAATGCTTCTCTCTCTGTGTCTATCTCTCTCCTTTCCACTCTTTAAAAATTAATGGGAAAAATATCCTCAGGTGAGGATTAACAACAACAACAAATAATAAAATACTAGTATATAACTACCTGTTGAATAAATGGAGTAATGTATATGAGTAGAATGAAAATGGAAAAGGTTGATGAACTTGAGATCTCTTTACGTGGCAGAACAGAATGATTTACTGGGTGCTGAGCAGGAGAAGGGAGAGGAAAAAGATAGAGGGGCCAAGAAGGCTGTCCAAGTTCCTGACCTAGACAACTGAGTGGCTGGGATACCATTCACTGACCTAGAGAAGAAAGGAGCAGTATTGAATTAAGAATAGGGACAAACAAGAATACATTCAATTTTGAAAAAGTTGAGATTAAAGTCATTGAGAAATACTCAGCTGGAGATGACCTGGAGGTAGCTGACTCTTGAACTACTCATTGGATTCATACTTAACTCTGTTAGGTACAAACAAGTCTGTGGAAAGCACATGAAGAGAGAATCTGTGGTTCTGACCTACTTCCTAAGGAGAAGCTAAATTCTTTTCACCCCTAAGATGAACTTGCTGAACTAGTCACTGCTCAGGAGCTTACAGCCTTTCTGAAAGTCACATCCCTAAGGCTCCTAGGAATCTCATTGTCTGAATGCAACCATTTCTCAGTCTGACTCTGGGGGTGCATGTTTGCCATTCAGAGCCTACTATATTTTACTGCACCTCCTGACATTGTTACACAACATTTATTGAAAGCACATTTGATGGTAATGAAGTTTCTATTAACTATGATTAAATCTCATAAAGCACCTGAAGATAATTTAAGATGTGCAGAAGCAGAAAATGAAACATTCAGCTCAGTACATTAGGAAACGTAATTGATTAAATTATCTCATTTACAATAAGTGCTTTCATGAGCTATGCACTGCACATATTTTCCCCAGTTTGTCATTATGATTTGCCAACAGATATCTGAAGATTTCACTTCCTTTTTTTCTCTCTTTTTTAATTGAATTTATTGGGGTAACTGTGGTTAATAAAACCATATAGGTTTCAAGTCTTTTTTCTCTCTCTCTTTTTTAATTGAATTTATTGGGGGTAACTGTGGTTAATAAAACCATATAGGTTTCAAGTGTACAACTCAACAAAACACCATCTGCATACTGCATCATGTGCTCATCACCCAAAGTCAAATCTCTTTTACCCACCATTTATCCCCCCCTTTGCTCTCTTCCACCTGCCTCTCCCCCTCTCCCCCTTCTCTCTGGCAGTCACCATACTGTTGTCTGTGTCTGTTCTTGGTGTTTTTTGTTTTGTTTTGTTTACAAACAACTTCACTTTCTTTTTATACCTCCATGCAACTGTGTGCGAGACTCTGAGTGATATTTTCTTGCTACGGATCCTGTGCACAGCTATATATAGGAACAGGTTGTTTCTCAATTATCTTCATAATTGACTTTGATTTTGCATCAGTGATGATTCATGCACTCTTCAACCAAGCCTCTCTTTCACTGAGCAACCGCAGCCTGAATTTGTATAATGCACGCCTAACCATGCAGCTTACAGAACCCTGGTTGGATTCCTCTGGGAGCCTTTTGCAATCACATTGATTCTGTTAAGGTTTTATTTTTAGGAAATGACAAATTAAAACAGTTTAAGCGATTCGGTTGCAGTATCTAGCAATTAAGCTTGGTGTTCAGGAGCGAGAACCCCGAGCAAAAACTAATTCAGGAGTCCCCGAGGACTAGGTATAGCTACTGTGGGGTTTATGGCTGAAAGTACAGATGTAACTGAATTAGAATGGCACAGGACTCACAAATTAAGCATGAAATTAATTTTTAAAAAACACACATGCACTTCTAGGTAACTCTCACATGGGCCACCACATGGATGCCCATGAGCTTGCTTGTGCTACACCCCAGAACTGGCAGGTGGCACAGGGTCTGTGAACAGGTAGAAGTTGAGGGTCCACTTATCTAAGCTGCCACCCTGAGGTCTTGACTCAGGCACAAGCCAAATATGCAGTGACCCATTCCTGTTCTCCCTCCCTCAACATGCACATATACAGACACACAACCACACATACACAACCAGGCCCCCCTCCAATCTTCCAGGGAGTACAAAATCAAGCATACATGATGTAGGAGGGTTGCTATCCAAGTACTAAAGATTACTTTATGGGCAGCAGACTGCACAGAAAAGAAGAAAGTTTGCTTTTGTTGTTTTGCAAAGATTTCAGACTCTGCAAGCAATGGCTTCTTTATATCTCAAGCCTGACTGAAGCAACATAATAAACTATGAACTTACATAGCTTTACTAATGCTTCTCTCATGTTTCCCAACCCCTGTCCCATGATACCTATTTCTGTCTATCTTCACAGCATCTTAATTCTTTCAAAGAAGGTGGCTAATAAGAACTATTAACTCTCCAAAGCTATTTGAATTTTAATACCCTAGGATTAAAAAGATCAAAAACCATTCATTTTATACTAAAATGGGCAATACTGACCAGGGACACTTTCCACAAGATTTACAAACTGACCCTGCCAGGCCCTTGTCTCTCTCCCTTACTGCTAAGAAGCCTTGTGATCTCGAGTATGCTTTACACCAAGCATGTCAAACTCAAAGGCTAACGCGGGCCAAATAAACGAGGCATGCGGCCCACGGGCCTTGAGTTTGAGATGCTTGCTTTACACACTTCTGGAACCTGGAGAATCATTTGGGGAACATATTACAATGTAGATTCTCTAGTGCCCCTCGCCCTGTACCAGGGATTCCAATTAATTTGTTCTATTCTGAGGTGGGGCATATTTAACAAGCTCCCACCACACCCCAACATTCTCATGCATGTGGTCCCTGATCTACCTTTTGTGAAATATTTTTCTAAGACAGAGGTTCTCAAGCCTAGCTGCACCCTGGAGTCACCTGGGGAGCTTTGAAAACTAGAGATTGTTGGGGTCTAACCCCTGCCCCCATTTTGAATACACTGGTTTGGGGTATAGCCTAGGATTTGGGATTTTTAAGAAGTCCTCTCTATGGTCCTCAAGGTCAGTCAAGGCCTGAACCATAGGATCGAATGCGGAGCTGCCACCCATTCAATCGGTGCCCCTTTCCCCAAATCTACCACCTGCATAAGATAGAGATAACGCAAAGGCCCTCCCAGGAAGCAAGCCTGTAATTACAGGGCTCCAGCCAGCACCACCATCTAATTTTCAGTTTCTGATAGTTTTACTGTGGAACACTGGTTCCTCATTTACCCCCTTGCCATGGATTTCACAGTTTGCCTCTCAGGCGCCCCCTCCTCCTTCTAGGTGGAGAGGCGTGTAGTCAGGCTTATGTCCAAGTTGCTTTTCATGAAAGTGTGTGCTGACAAGTATTTATTAATTGTAATGCTGTAAATCTCCTCAGAAATGAGAATTCTAGATGACAGTTGTAGAGAAATGGACTTACAGGCAGGCAGAATCAGGAGAAGAGATTTACTTTTATTCTGAGGGAGGGGAGGGGTGTGCATATTTCTTTCTGATTTAAACCTCTGATATGTGACTCCAAACCCAATGAGCAGAAGCCCCAAAAGCCCTGGATCTTTCGTGCAAACTTCAGTTCTGTTTGGCTCCTAAGCAAATACAACAGTAAGGCAGCAGATATGAGAATAAATTATAGTCACAAGAGGAAAAAGAACTTACTTTGGGGTTTTATCTCATGAAGAGGTTTTTTATCTAAAAGAAAGAAAGAGAAAAAAAGTTGCATTTAACAAATTTACATGGAGCAGTTATATTTCCTATATCATTTGGTCTATCTCTATTAAGGAACATTTTGTCTATTTTTGCAGACAATATATGGATTATGTTGTCAGTATTTCTCCTTTTTGCTCTATTTCTTTATTTTCCTGTTTTGCCATCTTTTTTAGGATGATCGCCTCATTCCTTTCTTTTTCCTCAGGCTTACTAGAGTTTCTTTCTGTTGCATTTGCTAGATTTTGATCTGCATGATGAGAGCTGTGAGCTTGCAGCCTGCCCCTTCTTATATATACAGCCAGAAGACGGCTCAGGTAAGGGATGCTATTTCCCTATATATGGGAGAAAAATGAACCAGTGAATAAATATTTAAAGGGATCCTGCCTTGGTCGGCGGTTATCGTGGCCTGGATAAAAAGCTCCAAACTGTGTTGCTTATGCATTCTCCTTGGGTATGCATGCGGTATTGTGGGCATGTTTTAAGAAATCACACTTTTTGATTTCAGATCTCTATTAATTGTTGAAACGTGCAGTTTCTCTCAATGGAAAGGTATCATTTGACAGCCATGGTGTTGAGCAGTGAAGCAGTCAGATGAGATGGGTACAGAGAAAAGACATTCAGACTTTTACTGAAGCAGGGCCACAGGAGCCAGAGCCGAGGTGAGATATTTTCTTAATTTTCCCCATTGCCTTCCATCCACCCTCTCCTGCCCTGTCTCCCATCACCGAATAACCCTGCAATAATCTTCCAAATCACCGTGAGACTGGGCACCTGGGACTTAACGCTGTTTTATACCACAGCCTCTCCACTCCCCATCCCCCCTGCCTGGTCCCATCCCTGCCAAGGGCTCTGCCACAATACAGAAACCTGGGAAGCCCACATTTCAGACACCAAGGCCACGGCTCCAGAAGATTTGCATGGCGAGTCAGCCCTCTTACTAGTCCTTTCAAGGGCTCAGATGGAACAGTCAGACGGCAAGCACTGAGGCTGCTGCCAGGCGGTCACAGACCCACACTGTGATCGGGGGACCTTGCGAGGTCACCTTGTGCAGCGCCCTTCCTCCGTTTGCCTGAAGGCGGGCCATGCTCGGGGTGAGACACTGTCATTTTGGATTATGTTTTTAACCGAATCAAACCTAGTGCAGTACACATTTGAGAACTTCATAAATATCATCTCACTGACTGCACCATAACCCCTCCCAGGCAGATAGATGCAGCTCTCCTCGGAATTCTTCATGGAATTCTTACCCTAACCCAGTCCTTCACTTAATACTGGTTTTGACAGAAAGCCCTGGCAGTGTGATTTAAGTACATCTCCTGTGTGTTTTGCCATCTAATTTGTTAAGGGAGTAGCTGTTAAAAGTTGCACGTAAATCACACTCTTGCCAATAGGCCACCGTTTTTTTCTTCATTATATGGGGAAAGTTCTTAATATTTTCTTAATTTTCCCCATTGCCTTCCATCCTTGCAAATGGCAACTTCTGGCAAATCTTTCTTTCAATGAACAATCCTCATAAAAGATAAGAATTTGTTCAAGTTGATATGCTCATATTCAGATTTTTATAGTCAGGTTTCTTAAAACAGGACAATATTCGCATTCAGCTTATCACATCAATTTAACGCCACCAGCTTTCCCCAGAGCAGGTGACGCCTGGCGAAGTCCAGATGCTAATGCACGCAAGAATTAGAATAAAACGACTGTGGGGTCTGAACCTAACCTCAGTTTTTGCTTATTGCATGCTATCTGACAGCACTTGGCATGGGCACAGCGATGCTGGCAGGCCGGGCTGAGCCATCTAAAGTGATGCATTGCTAGGACTACACAGAGAGACATGCAGAACATCTGTTTAGGACCCTGGCTGAGCTAAACTGTATTATCTTCCTTCTAAACCACAGGAACGGAGGTTATGCCAGGTAGCAAAATGAAGCTCCATTAAAAGTGGGTGCTATATATAACTACTCCCCAGAAAAATAAAATTGAATATAGCCAGGCTGTGAAAAAAACAGGGTGATGCATTCCACTGGGTATAGCTCTGCAGGAAAAAGAGTGAATGAGGCTGACAAGCCCAGGGCAAAGGTCCCAAGATAGGACTCAGGCCACAGGGCACATGGACAGGAGTGGGTATTTCCCCACTGAAACAGTTCTGGTGCCCTCACTATTAGCAGCGTGGTGTTGTGGGATTAGTGCAAACTCTCAGAGCCCAGACAGGATTTTAATCTTTAATTGTTTGTATCCTATCTATGTGGTCTCAGTGTCCTTCTCCAAAGTAAAATGCGAATGATAATTTCCTTGAAGATGGATGCTGGGGACTACACATGATGAATGTGAAAGTGTGCAACACAGGGCTGGCACAAGTGAAGCATCAATAAATGGTAGCTAATAACTAATATTATGGTTTCAACATGTTATAAATAGGATCATCCTTGTCACTTGTTCAGAGTAAAAAAAAACAACAACAACTGCATGATTCTTGGAGATGAGTCACAACCCCACGTTCTAGTGCATTTCGGGGGTGCTGGGAAGGGAGTGAAGGCCCTTGTGGCTGCTTTATGAGACTAAGTCAAAACTTCAGTTTCCTGATAGGGATAAAAATGGTCAGGGACCAGTAGACCCTCGCAAGCTCCCTAGCTTTCACCCACCATAAATCAGCAGAATAACAAGCAATGACATTCCATTTGAAATCTATTTGACATGATTTCCTAGAGCAGAGCCAAATTTATTCCAAGGGATTCTGCTGGACCTGGGGATTTGTTGAGCGAAGGGCCAGGGCGTCTTGTGGGTCAGTGTACAGACTCTCATGGAAAAGGCGGGACGCCTCTGATGCCCAGGAGAGCTTTAGTCCTCGAGCATCAGCATCAAAATTAGGTCCTGCTGTATTTTGTGAAATACCAGTCTCATGTCAGCAACCTGCTAGCATACAGCATTTTCCCATCTTCAAATGTCTGAACAGTCTCTAATCCATGAGCTTGAGAGAGGGCTTCCCATCAACCTCACTATCTTTTGCAAGGACTGCCCACCCCACTCTCCATGTCCTTTGATTCTCTTTGCACAATCATTTTCTCACAAGGCTGAGGGCCATGCATCCACTTGGCCTTGGTCAACCAAATCCTCTCTGCTTTGATTTTACCTCTCTCCAAGGCCATGTTCAGATGACCCCTTAGTAAATTAATCCATTAGGGCCATAGTTTTATTAATGTTGGCTGCACATGAGAATCACCTGGGGAGCTTATTTTTAAAAGAAAATGCCCATGCCTGGGCCCCACTCCAAGAGCTCCTGATTAATTGGGGTTTGTGTTTTTGTAATTACTGAGGGCACCACCACTTCTTGGCAACACATCTGGGGATTTGTGTACTGAACTTCTTTTGGTCTCTGCCTCCCTAGGAGGCTTTGGGGTAGCTATGGTATCTGATGGGTCCAGAAATATCCCTTTTGTATTCTGCAGATAGAGAAATGTAATTTTGAGCCAGCTGAGCTTCAGTTTGTGAAAATCAAAACAATTTTCCAAAGATCTAACGTACACCGAGAGGTACCTTCTGGGTAAATGGACATTGATAATAAGTAATTAAAACTCAGTCTTATTATTTGTGTACTTATAAGCTAAAGACACAGGAGTGTTTTTTTTTTTAATTTTAATAGTGTCTTAAATTGTCATGTGTTCTTTAGGTTATCTATACAAGTCCAGGCCTTTTCACTTTATTTTATATATGTACTAGAGGCCCGATGCACAAAATTCGTGCAAGGGGCTCGGCTCTTGCAGCCCCAGCTTCGTCTGAAAGGACATCTGGACTGTTGTTGGGCTGTCTGGTCTAATTAGCATATTACTCTTTGATTATTATGATGAGATTATGTGCATACTTACACATATATATTAGCAGGAAACTGCATGAAATTGACAGTTATTGATCATTTTTACCTACAAAAACATGGAATTATCTTTTATATATCATTCTGCAGTATGCCTTTATTTCCTAGCACTGTACTATAATGCAAATATTGCTTTGCATGTGCCGTGTATAATACATTTATGAGATGGGGGAGAGAAAAAGAGGCAGAACAATTTATGTATTTTTGATGGTGATTTGGTTCTTTTCCACCTTTCTTGCTTTCTTTGTTATATGGGATGCTCCTAAAGCATTTCCATGGTATCCATTGTTCTTAGGAGATATTTATAGCTGCACCCCTACCTTCCCTCCCACATGCCCACATCCAGCCTTATCCGTTCTTTGCCAGAGAATAAATGTGGCCGGCTTCGTGCAGCTACATGCTGCAGATCTAGGAGAGCAGGCCTGGGAGATGCAGCATGTGTGGACAGATGCATTCAATCTCCGACCTATAGACTGGGCAGGAAGGGGCTGCTCGTAAAAACTGTGGGCTGTGATTATCTGAAATAGGCTCCTATGAGTTTTGACAACTAACAAATATATTTGATACCAGAGTCTGTGTTCTTTTTTGAGATTCAGGCATAGAGCCACTCATTGAACTAAACACCCACCAGACAGAAAGCCCAGACAGCTACTCTTCACCAGGCAACAATTCACAGATGTCATTATAGTTAATGATTACCATTTTCTTTTTCACTAAACCAGCCATGTCCGTTTCCATCTCCAAATATCATTTTTTAGATTTACTTCTACATTGATCATATTCTTTGAAACCTTTTACATCCCACAAACACACACACACACACACACACACACACACACACACACACACACACACATATATATCTGTTGACTATTTTACTGTACCCTCCACAGTCTTAGTACTTTTAAATGGTTTAGGAGGTGCTTCTGAAGTCCGTGGAATTGTCAGTCTTCTCTGCTCACTCCCTGTCACTGAGCTAATCCTTTAGCATCAGCACACAGGGGTCTACCATGATTCCACACTGCCCTACGTCAGAGCCAACTGCTCTGCCTAACTCTATGGTCTCCTATTAGCTGATCCCACCACAAATAGGACTTAGTTTCCACGCACCTCAACA